GGGATTACTTTAGGTTTTTTGGAGTAATTTTGGGCGGGTGCGCTTGAGGGCAAACTAATTTTGAAAATTGTAAATAAACCCAAATTGTAAAATTTGTTTTCTTAAGTTGAGTTTCTGGGCTTATATGTTGAGTTTGTATGTCTGTACATACACAGAGATGATGAGTACGAACATGTTTGGTTAGAAAGATTAGGAGATACATTATAGATACTATAATATTTTGTTTTGTATGTAAGGGTGTACTTAAAATTAAGTACATATAGTCTTTTAAGACAGACGGATACAATTTTTTTTATTTATCTTTACTGATATATTATTAGTATAACAAAAGAGAGCAAGTACAATATGGTTTAAGTTTGATTATGATGTCCTTATGAGAAGATAGTGACGTAAAGACAAAATTTAATATAAAAGCATCACTTTTTGAGACTGTTTTGTTTTTGTGTAAATATAAGAGTTTGGTACTTATATTTCTTTATATTTTTGTGCAAAATACGGTGGATTTATTGTTGTTATCATAGCATTAATCATGCCATAGTCTAAAGCTAAGGTTTTACTGTGAATTAGAAATGCTTGGGCTAGGAGCAGTTTTTTAAAATTTTTGTTATTTTTAATTGTTTTTACTATAGTAAAAAGGTGTTTATTAACATAAAACATAAATTTTTAAAATTTTAAACTAAAAAAAATTAATTATCCACCCACATTCAATACTATTTCAACTTTTTCAAGTTTATTAATTCTTTCCAGCAAAGTGTAAAGTCTTAATTAGGATTTAGTCGCTCAACTTGTAAACATATCACTTTAAGGCTGAATGGATTACATTCTGTATTTGCTACAGTATTACTGCTAACTTTTTTTGATAAAAACTTTTAAAAAAACTTTATATTTTATTGATTTAAAAAATTTTTTAAGTTAAAAATTTTTTTGAATTCATGAAAATTATTAGTACTACCTAATTCTAAAGAGTATTTCTCTAAAGACCTTACTTTATAAAACATTATGTTAGATTTCAAGTAATCTTTTCAACTTTTTTTGATTTGTAAAAGGCCAAAATGCAGGATTAAAGTTTTATGGCCTGTAAAGTGATAACATAAAAGTTTTACGAGATGTTGCTGGGATTTACTTGAGATGAGAATGTTGGGAACAGGTTGTTCGACTTTGGGATTTGGCACTTTCTTTGAAAGTTAGAAAAAATAAAAATGTATTTTTTTACTTTTCATTTAAGGGGTGCTTTTTTAAAGGCATATAGGATAAGCCTGAGTCTGAGCCTGACCCTTAGCCATAGCTCTAGCCTGGGTCTAAACTTAGCTTTTGCGACAGCCTTAAAAAGTTAAAAAATCTATTTCAGTACTCAAAATCACTGCCAAAAATTTAAGTTCAGACCTAAATTTAGCTCTACAAACGCCCTTATACACGTTTCCAAACGTTTTTATAGTCAAAGTAAATTAGCTGTTCTGGTAATTACGTGCAAATATTTAAGGACATTCATTTGGGTAAATAAGGTCTAATTGAATTTTGAACGCGGTACAAGAAAACAAAAAATGTGCCTAGACAGTGATGAGGTCAAGAATTTAAAGGGGTTTTTAAATAGTTGTCATGTTTAATCTACTTTATTTTTATTATATATTATTAATTTTAACATTAGCCTTAGCGTTAGGTTTAGGTTTGGCCTTAGACTTAGCCACAGTTTTGGTCTTGGGTCTACCTTTCAATTTAGGTTTTGCCTAGAGATGAGAAACGCCGTGTAAGATCCAATTGTTCTAGCCCAGCCTTACAATCGAGCTAAAGTTGAAACAGGCCAGGCCGAAAAAGTTGGCTTGGCGAGATAGTCTTAAAAATTAAGCACGAGCATTAAAATATTTTTTTTTATTTTTTAAAAACGGGCTGGGCTAGGCTGAGCTTATTATTTTTTTGATCGGGCTGGCCTGAGATAGAATAAAAATGGGCCAGACTTTAACTGGGGGCCCCGGGCTTGAACTCTGTTAAAACTTGGCCATACCTAGTCGGCTTTTTGGCCCTAATCTTTCTCGTTTTTTTCATACACAATATTGCGATTCTGTATATACTAATGTAAGAAAGTTTGTTTGCTCAGCGTTCTCAACCTTCTTGAATAGTATTAAAGCAGAAGATTACTACTTTTCGTCAATAGACATTTCCTGTTTAAACCGATATCTTCTTATTTAATTCAATATACGTGAACTGCCTTTTTATATTGCATTTACTGCACAGTAGTAAAAATACGTATTACATATAACTTGAACATATTATATTGTACTATCGCTGGTATAAGATTATCGGTTTTTTGTTAGGAATGAACGACGAAGTGGACTGGTTACAACGTCGTACGTTTACGGCAGTAATCCCGTTTTTACCCGAGTAAGTATATGTATGAAAATGGGCATGATCTTATAAGTTTGTATAAGGATATGAGCTTATAATTTTTAATTTGGAGATGAGCTAATATTGTTTGGCTAGGATACGGAATTTGACTTTTTTCTTACTGGGCATGGTTTTTTGGGTTTTTTGGAATTTGTTACATATCACGATTACATTTATCATTTTCTTGTTTTGCTACTCTTTTTTAATACTGTTGGTACTCATTGGTACTCTTTCTGTAATACTTTCAGTGCACATAAGTATTAGCGTTTTCTTTTTTTGATTTTGAAATTACTTTTTATTTTAAAAAAAACTTCATTTTTAGGCTTAAATCTTAACTTTTGGTCCAGCTGGTCGATTTAGGACTAGTTTTGATCATATTTAGTCGAATATTATTATTGTACAGTGTATTTAAATCTCTGTTTTTTTTGCTTGTTTTTTGCACTCTGGGATGGGCTTTTTAAGCATTCTTTTAGACTGTCTCAATAGCTTTCTATTAGACTATCTCAGTTTACATGCTACTCTTATAGCAATAAACAAGCTATTTGAAAAAGTATGTATTCTATATTATATATATATGATATTTTTGAAATTTAGAGCTCATTGCTTTGTTTGAACGTAGAACTTTTTTTTTCGTTTTTTGAAAATTGGTGAAAGTGTCAAAAATAATATTACATTTTAACTGATTGTCATTAATACGTGCTAAAACTCTTTAACATTATAAAATTATCGTTCGAATCGTCTACAGACATAATTTGAATTTGTTATCGTATGTCAAAAAATAGACAGGTGTTAAGCATTTGAAATTCGTCAACAACCGGTGGTTTAAATGACTAAACTGTGCTTTATGATTAATAAGTAATGGCAAGTTTTTTTTTAGTTTTTTGTTCTTAATGAGATCGGTACTTTGTAGTAACTGTCGCACAGCTTTTTTTAAATAAAACCAGCTTATAAACTACTTTATTATCAAACTTTAGAAAATTAGTTCAGCACTAGGCCAAACATTCCAAAATTTCTACTTCCAGCCGCAGATTTACTGAGCTGGTTATTGCGCTAACCTTTTTTAGCTTTTATAGCTTGTTCTAATTCAAAAAAGAATAAAACTTTATAAAACAGTCAGTTGCGTCTTGATTGGGTTCCCATTGCGAAAACAAGAAAGAAACTGATTTTTTTTGACTCTCAACGCTCTCTTCTTTTTGCACTTTCTCTCCTTCCAAAAAAGGAGAAAAAAAATTGATCAACCAAATGACAAGAACTTTTGCTACAGTGCGAATAATAGCAAGAACTTTCTTTACAGCGCATAAAAATGCAAAAAAAAATTTTTACATTACAAAAAATGGCAAGAACTTTCTTTACAGTCAAAAAATAACTAAAACTTTTTGATAAAAAGAAAAATGGCAGTATTTTTTTTGAATTAAAAAATGGAAGAAATTTGTATACATTTTACATAATAGCAATAACTTTCTTTACAGTGCAAAAAATTATTTAAAAAAGATGATAAAGGTAAAAAGCAAAAGATAAACAAATGGGTACGCCCATAGCCTGTTAAACGCACGCCATCCCGTCCGATCTGGCAAGTTAAGCAACGGTGCGCTTGATTAGTACTTGGATCGGAGACGTCCTTGGAATCTCAGGTGGCGTACGCCTTTTTGGCTATGGGGTAGGTATGTGAGCATTTTTTTTTAATTATCGATATTTTGGATGAAGGTATAGGAAGTTCATTATTTTTTTGTTTTTTTATACAATTTTATATAATGTCATCAAAATTTGTCTGATTATGTGCCATATTTAACATTACCTTATGTATTGTATTCAACAAGTTTCAATCCTTCAAATCTTCTTGATCTCTTTTTTTTTAAACTTTCACATACATGTCTTATCACATATTTACATCTTCTACATACAAATATATCATAGTCTTCACAGCCAAGAAGATACATTAATATGCACTTTTCTCGATTCTTCATAAAATTTCGTTTTTTTTGTTGACTTATCGTGCAATTGCATCGAGTTCAAGATGTTGAACACATCATGAAGATGGATAGATAATATATCATATATATTGCGACCTTTCGATCGGGCCAAAGATAATGGCCAAGTGGAAGTTGTTTCCTCATTTTTTTGTTTTTATTTGCATTTTTTGGCTTACGGGCTATTTTTAGTACGGTGCACGAGGTTTTGGTACTTTTGTTTTTTGAATCTTATCACTTTTCAAAATGTTACAGAAGCTTGATACAGTGGTTTTTTGAGTAATGAGGATATTTTTAGTACAGTACTGAACTTGGGACAGTTTTGAAATTAAAAGTTTTAAAACTACTGTTTGATATGTGGTTTAGTAAAGTTAGTTTTAGCTCTAACCTTAACCTTGGCTTTAGCATATGCTTGAGTTTGGGCCGTGGGATTAACCCTTATTCGGCCTTATCTTTAAGCTTAGATTCATACTGTTTTTTTGAAGTTACTGTAACGTTTTTTTGAAATTAGCGAAATTATGCTGTATTTTTTAAGTTTTTTTATACGTTTTTCGGGCTACGGTATTATCATTATGTTTTTTTAAACTTTTTTCGTTTTTTGGTTAAAATACGACATTCTATGTTTTTACAGTAAATTTAACATTTTACAGAGTAATGTCAGTGATGGCAACCAATGACTCCAGCTTCGAATGTATATGTTCAGATTTGCAAAAAGACGAGTATTCCCCCTTCTATGCTTGGTTTAACTATATTGTCATCATTTGCCTGTTACCATGGCTGTCGATATTTGGTTTGTTGACGAATATCTGCAATGTGTACATATTTAGCAGGAAACGGTAAGGTTCAATGTTATATTGTACTGGGAGGATTTTAGAGAAAAAATTCATTTTTAAATACTTTTCGTATTTTACATTATTTTTACAGAATGCGCAACTCTGCCAACACGTATCTCTTCTTCTTGGCTTGCTCAGACTTTTTGGTCATTCTCACTGGTTTGTTCATATTCTGGATCGACTCGGCTCGAACCTACATTCAGGAGCTTTCACAAGCACCCTACACTACAGTATACGCACTACCGTTTGGCTATATGGCTCAAACCAGCTCGGTTTACTTTACTGTGGCGGCGGCTGTGGATTGTTATGTTTCGGTGGGTTGGGATTAGGTTTTAGGCTTAAAATGGGTTTTATGGTTGAAAAAATAAATTTCAGGTTTTTAAAATAATTTATGACTTAAAAGTTGTCGTTACGTTTAAGATTAGGCTAGAGTTTAGGCTAAAAAAAGGAAATTAAAACATAAAAATAAATTTTAGGTATAAAAGCTAAACTTTAGGTTTTAAAATTGACTTTAGGCTTATAAAACGAATTTTAGGCTTAAATAGTTAACCCCAAACCTAAAAATGTATATTAAGATTAAACTTTATGTTTAATTAGTAAAGTTTAAGCATAAAAAATGAATTTTAGGCTTAAAAAGAAAATAAGCCTTAAAAAACATTTTAGGTTAAAAAACAACATAGTATACTTAAAAAACCTTTTTTAGCCTTTGAAATCTTCTAAAAATTGTAATTTCAGGTATGTTGGAAGTCACGAACGCCGAATTACTGCACAGTGCGAAGAGCTCGGCAGATTTGTGGAGGCGTCGCGGCCTTATCAATCCTCTATAACTCAATGCGATTTCCGCAGTTTAATCTACGGAAGTGTGTGCCGGATGGAAGCGATGTGAGGTTTTATAATAATTCATAACAAGTTTTGAAAATTGATAATTTTTGTAAATTCAAGGCATAAGATAACATTTTAAGCTTAAAACTGTAGATCTGGTTAGGGTAGGGTAGGCCAGCTTCAAATGTGAATAAGCTGGTAAATAACTCTTAAAAGAAATTTTAATTTCGAAAATCAATTTTAACTTTAAAATTTCAGGAATTTGTGATTGAAATCTGCCCAACCACGCTATTCTACACGATCAACACCATCTACAACGTCTACATGTACATGGTCCTTATGACCCTAATGCCATTCTTTTTCCTACTTGTACTCAACACTTTCATCGTGGTAAAACAAAGTATTGAGACTCAGAAGATCAAGAAGATCAGCCGTGTGTCAATCAACAATGGCAGAGCTTCATCCCCTATACTATTTAAAAATGGCAATGAACCAATGTCACCTATACCTGTAGATGAAGTTGAGGCCGATGATACGATTACCATGATCATGGTGGTCGTCCTCTTCCTTTGTTGTAACACTTTGGCATTGATTGTGAATATCATCGAGACCTTCTTCGAGCCAGATCAGACGATATTACACACGCTATCGGATGCCTCCAATTTCTTGGTGGTACTTAATAGTAGTGTCAATTGTGTCATTTACTATGTGTTTAACAAGGAGTACCGAGAGTTGTTCCAGTATCATATTCTGTCAAAGATTGTGTGCTGTTCAAAGGAAGAAAGGCAACGACCGTCGCTTTACTTTGAAAATACGAAAAAGAAGTCGGAGGCTAATGGTTTGTACCCCAATTACATGAAGATGGCCAATCCTAGTGAGTTTGCAGATTAATAGACAACTAAAATTTGAATTTTAAGTTTAAATTCTGTTTAGGTTTAACTTTTTTTTGCTTTTATTTTGAAGCTTAGTATATCGTTTTTAAGCCTAAAATAATTTTTTTTAAACTTGAAATTGCTTACTAAGCCTAAAATTCAACCAACTAGCTTAAAAATTGTAATTTTAAGCTTAACATTATACTTTTAAGACTTAGATTGATTTTTACGATTAAAATTAAAATTTAAAATTGTGGTTTTAGCCCTAAAATTTTTCACTATTGTCAAAAAATTGAAAGTGGCCAAGCTGAACCAAAAAATGGGTTTTCCCGGCCCTTTTGGAGCCTAGTTTAAGCCTAAAATATTTTTCATAAGCATAAACCTTTAAAACTTAAAATTACAATTTACAATTTCAGGCCCAATCTGTAACCCAGCATCGCCAGTCTGGCGTCCCTTGAACTGGCCTTCCGAGTTCTCTTCAAATACGGCCGATTGGCCGTCGGAGAGCACTTTACCAAACACTGAGTTCACAAGAATACCACAATCACCTTGTCCTTCGTTCGTGCCATCAGTTAACAATGACATTCAGTTAATGGACGAAGACGAAAGTGACAGTGGCTTGGGGGTAGAAGGCAGTCATACGGTAGGATTTTATGTTTTTGTTAAGCCTAAAAAGCTTTTAAAAACTGTTTTTATTTTTAAAGTTGAAGTTGAAATTTTAAACCTTAAGTTCATTTTAAGCCTAAAATTAAGTTTATAAGCCTAAAACACATTCTTAAGCCTAAAACACATTCTTAAGCCTAAAACACATTTTTAAGCCTAAAACACATTTTTAAGCCTAAAACACATTTTAAACCTAAAATTCATTTTTAAGCCGAAAACACATTTTTAAACCTAAAACTTATTGTTTAAACCTAAAATTCATTTTTAAACTTAAACTCTAATTTTTAAGCCTAAAATTCATTTTTTATGTTTAATTTTTTAAGCCTAACAATATTTAATTTCAGATAATCCAAAACGAAGGACCCAAAAGCCTAGAAGTACGACTAGTCGGAGAAAAAGAAAAAGTATTCATCAAATCCGCGGACGGAACGGAACAGAACGTTTCAGTCACGGCCTTATAACCAAAAAAGTACAAAACCAACGAAAACGGGCTCTTTAATATAATATTGTAATAATACCGGTTACTATTGTAAACTCTTTTCACGCCAATAAATTTTTACAATAACTTTAGTAAAGCAAAATAAAGCAAAGTGTAGGGTAGGGCAGGCCAACTCGGATAGAGATTAGGCACAGTATATAGATGTTACAATATGATTAAACTAGAGCACAGCATGTAGTTGAAGGTGGAGTTAGGGCAAGTTTCGACAATAGCAAGGTCGAAAATGTAGTGTTAGATAGAGTTGGATAGGCAAGAGAATGCTGGAGCAGAGTTAAGTAAAGAAGGGTAGTAAGGTAGGGTAAGGATAAAGCAAAGTAGAACAATTTAGGATAGGGTAGGGTAGGGTAGGGTAGGGCAGGGTAGGGTAGGGTAGGGTAGGGTAGGGTAGAGTAGGGTAGGGTAGGGTAGGGTAGGGTAGGGTAGGGTAGGGTAGGGTAGGGTAGGGTAGGGTAGGGTAAGGTAGGGTAGGGTAGGGTAGGGTAGGGTACGGTAGGGTACGGTAGGGTAGGGTCAAAAAATATCTTTAGCGCTAAGTTTTTCAAAGATTTAAAAGTATTTTTTTTCAAAGTATTCAAATTATGCAAATTTCGAAAACCAGTGCAATTTGAAAAAAGTAATTTTGAAAATCGAAAAAGCTCATTATTCACTGAATGCTCACGCATCGGACGGCTGTCTTTTCCTTCCGCCACTGTTCGTACTGACCATGACTAGAATCGCCATCAAGTCCACCATCAAGAAGGTAGGTTGGAGTTGATATGCTGCTGATACTGTGATATAGCAGTTGTTATTGTTAATAGTTATGTTACAATGACTTTTGTAATTGTATTTTAGACTTAAAATTTGTGTTTTAGATCCAAAAGAAGGAACGTCGTGCGAGAAAGAACCACCGTCGTGCTCAGTCGACTCATCCAACCGAACGTGATGTTGTGGTAAGACCTCAAGTCGAGGAAGCCGATGATGTTGAGGTAAAGCACATTGGCGTTCAAGTAGACCATGCTGGTTTTGAGGCGGAACATGTTGAAGCCAATCACTTCAAGATTGTAGTAGATGAAGCTGATTTAGAGGTAGATGTTGAAGGTAAAGACTTGGATGTTGAAGTAGAACCCATGGAGCTAAAGCTTGAGGAATGTCCAGTGTTACCTACAGCTGAAGCGGCTGCCAAAGCTTCAGTTCATTTGGCTTCGAGCGTATTCCCGACTAACACCGAAGCTTCAGCCGAAGCCGCTTCTGTTCATCTAGCCTCGTCAATCTTCCCCACCAAGACTCAACCGAATCGTTCAGCTGAAGCTTCAGCCGAAGTGCTTTCACTTCACTTGGCTTCTTCAGTTTTCCCGACCACTTCTGGAACTTCAAAAAAGCCGGCTTCAGAAGAGGCGGCCTCAGTTCATCTGGCTACAAGCGTCTTCCCAACTGGAGGTTCGGTCGAACCAGTTACGGTGCTTCCAAGTACTTCTGGAACCTTGGCTGAAGCGGCTTCAGTTCATTTGGCTTCTTCAGTGTTTCCCACTGAAAGTGCTGAATCGACCGAGTCGAGTGAGTTGAAGAAAACCGTGGAGGAGTTGATTCACGACCTGAAGGCACTCACCACCATGAAGAAGTTGGTCAACAACAAGGTAAGCCTTATAAAGCTTTTTATGACTTTTAGGCTTAAAGATTAAGCCTAATGTTGAATTTAGGCTTAAAAATTAATTTTTAAGTGTAAAACTTTTGCTTTTGGCTTAAAAAATAAACCTAAAATACAAATGCTTGTTTTTAAAATTAAATTTCGAACCTTGAAACTATTTTTACTGTAGACAAATTTAAATTATAAATTTAAAAATTTTAGTCCAAGAGCGTGGAGTTGATCAAGTCTCGAGCAGTCGCCAAAAGAATCAGCGCCTCTACTGAGCACTTCAAACCGGAGACTCCATTGAATCTTCTGGGACAGTTGAGCCTCTCAATTCAACGTAGTAAGTTTTATAATGAAGTTTATTTTAGTTCATTACCGGATAGATCAAAAAAGAGGGCTTACTGGGTCTGGCCTAGTAGAGAAAAATCATTTTGTTGCGTTTTACTGCGGCTTTTAAGCTAAAAAATTTCAGACAAGGTCGTTCTCGACCAGCTGATGCGCTCTAAAGAAGCCTCAAAGGAAGAGGCGGACCTGGAGACGTGCTACTGCAACCTGACCAGCATCCTCCACCCCAACCCTAACCGCAGCTGTGTGGGCATGGACGAGGTTTCGAAGCGCGTTCATCTGAGCGAGAGCATCAGACATCGTTCGTGCTGCTTCACCACGAGTAGCGTGGTCACCACGGACGCTACGGATCAGGGCTCTCACTTCAATCTGCCTTCAATGGTCAGTGACAGTGCCATTTGTTCGAATTCATCGTTGACCAGGGTCACGACTGATGAAACCAGTGGAGCGTGTCCGGTTTTGAAGCGTCATGAAAACATCGGCAATCAAGGTAGGTTTTGAAGTTATGAAATTGAAAATTTAGAGCTTTGGCCGATTTTAGGCTTAAAAATAACATTTTGGGCTTAGAGATAACGCTTTTAAGCTTAAAATTGATTTTAAGCTTAAAAATGAAACTTTAGGCCTAAAATTAAAATTGTAGGCTTAAAAATAAAACGTTAGGCTTAAGAATGAAATTTAGGCTTAACTAAGAAATCTGCAGCATAATAATAAAAGTTAGGCCTAAAAGTGCAATTGTAGGCTTAAAAAGAGAGAAAGTTACTGTTTTACGAAGTGTATTAATTTTACTGCTTTAGGTCTTCGCTGCGTCGCTCTGGACTGTGACAATGTTGCTCAACTCATGCACCAACTCGGCGCGACCGGATCGATCTCGGATTACGTTCGCCGTCTGGAAGAGATTGTTGGTGACTACTTGCTGTTGGTCCGCAAGGTCTACTACCCATTTTCTGTCAGAAAATAAACTGACTTCTTGAATTTGTTGGCTTTTTTTATACTTGCTTTTGAAAAGTTAAATGCATATAAAGAATAAAGTAGGGTAACTTGTAGGCTGAATTAAGCTCAAGCTATCGTGAGACTGAGACGAGTTAGAAGAAGTTAAGTTTGTGTAGAACATTGTGATGAAGGTAAAGCTAGGCTAGAGCTAGGATAAGAAATAGTAAGTAAAGCTGAGATAACGATACGATTATTAGTCTAGCCCAAGGCCAAACATTCCAAAATTTTATTTTTCAGCCACAGATTTACTGAGCTAGTTATTGTGCTAACCTTTTTTTAGCTTTTACAGCTTGCTCTAACTCTCAAAAGAATAGAGCTTTATAAAACAGTCAAATGCGCTTTGATTGGGTTCCCGTTCAGAAAGAAAAGAGACTCTTTGTTTCTCAGCGCACTCTTTTTGAGCTTTTTCTCTTTGGCATTCATATTTTTAAAGGACGAAAGGGAAATTGATCAACAAAATGACAAGAACTTTCTTTACAATGCAAAAAATAGCGAAAACTTTCTTTACAGTGCTATAAACGATAAGAATCAAAAGAAATAAATAAATGATAAAAAGAAAAAGCAAGAAGCTCATAAACGTGTACGCCCATAGCCCGTTGAACGCACGCCATCCCGTCCGATCTGGCAAGTTAAGCAACGATGCGCTTGATTAGTACTTGGATCGGAGACGTCCTTGGAATCTCAGGTGGCGTACGCTTTTTTGGATTTTTTATCAGTTTTAAAAAATAGAACTGACATTTTTGACTTTTTTTACACTTTTTAAAAATTTGAAATTATCATTTTACTTTATTGTTAGTATTATATATTTATTTTATTGTTTGTTAAATATTTTTAATTACAATATTTTCTAAAATTCCAGACAAATCTACAGTTTATTCTGTAATTTTAATTACAGTAATATTATTTTGATTCAAATTACTGTTAATCACCCAAGAAAGTTACACTAAGTCTGATCGTATAATTACTGGTAAATTGTTGTCTGTAGGCTTGTCTTTGTTTTTGCATAACTTATTTATCAAAAACAAGCAAATTACAGTGATTAAAACACCACATCTCTGGCTGTATAAATACTGATTATCCTTTTTTTAAATTACATTTTTTTGATTTAAAAAATTTTTTTGAAAGAAAGTAAATTTGTTGTTACTTATGACACAAAATGGACTTTAATTTACATTTAAAGTTTACATTTTGTAATTTTTTTTACTTTCTATACCGTATTGTATTGTTGTTTCGGTAAAGGGCATCTTTCTATTAGAATATAGGTATAAAGCTTTATTAATCGTCTTAATATAGGTATAAAAACCTCATTATAAACCGGGTTATTAATGTTTTTGGTTTTTGACATGTACTATATATGATGCCGTGTTTTCTACCAACGTAATTTGATGTTTCTTGTAAATTTTATGCTTATTACATTAAGGTTGAGTTTGTAAGGTTAATTGTATTAAGTTAGAAAACCAATTTTGCACTTGAGTAATACAATGCAGTGGGACTTTCGTAGCGATTCGGTTTTAAAACTGGTTTGTCATGTAGGATTTTTGTCATATGTAGAGTGTTATACAGGAATTACAATGAATTATACATAATAAAAAGGCTTGTAGTTGCTGAACAAATGTGGTTTTTGAGTTTTAAAGCGTAGTACGTCTTGTTTTTTAGTTTAAAAATTCTAGATAACACAAAATTTTAAAATAAAATTTTAGGCTTAAGAGCTAATTCTAAGTTTCTAAAGCATTCTGGCTTACAAACTACATTTTAAGCTTAAAACTGTATTTTAGGCTTATTACTAATCTTTAAGCTTAAAAAACTTTACGATTATTTTACTAATTTTCGTGCTGTGTCGACTTATGCATATATTGTACCTTACTTCATACCACAATATAATATTCTTCATGTTTAGGCTAAAAGTAAAGAGCCAATGTTATACAACGCTGGTTGGAAGTATTGGTGTTTCGATGGTTATCAACCAGTTCTGGACGCTTTGAACATAACTGAAGAGCAAATTCCACAGAAAATGGATCAAATTGAGGTTGATCATTGTGAGTTTTTTAAATTTGAAAGATTATTTTGGATTGAAAATTTTAACTTTAGGCTTAAAAATACAATTTAGGCTTAGAAATGAAAGCTTTAGTTTTTAGGCTTGCTAATACACTGTTTAGCTTATAAATGAACCTTTAGGCTTAAAAATGTTACTAATATTAGGCTGTTCACATAATTCTGCGCTCTCTTACGCCAAAAATTTGCTTTTAGAAAGGGCGCAGAATTAAGTGAACAATTTAATATGTTCAATATAAAAATTATTTTCTAGTCGTATCCAACGTTCACATAGTATTCGAATTCATCATGGCAGCCACAGCCTTTAGTGCCAACACTGTTCTCTTTATCATTATGAATCGCCTCAAGAAACAATTTGCTTCATTCATTTTCATTTTGCGTTTGGCTATGGCAGTCGACTGTTTTATGGCATTATGCACTTTAACATGTCAACCAGTAGTTCATGTGTCATATGGTTACTTTACAGTATACTGTGAAAACCCATTGTTACCTAAAGCCATGATCGTCAAATGTATGGCTATGGTATTTCAAGGCACGGCGATTATAGCGACTGTAGTTTGGCTCCCGGTGCAGTTTGCTTATCGGTATCATGTTGTGGTGGAGTGAGTTGGTGATTAACACAGATTTAGCATAAGAGCTCTAGTTCAGACCCCTAGCCCAGAGCCTTAGCAGAGAGCCCTAGTCCAGAGCCCTAACCCAGGGCCCTAGTCCAGAGCTTTAGCTCAGAGCCCTAGCCTAAAGCCCTAGCTCAGAGCCGTAGCCCAGAGCCCTAGCCCAGAGCCGCAGCCCAAAGCCCTAGCTCAGAGCCCTAGCCTTACGCTTAACTTTTTTCAGAGGCCTAGAACCTCCCGAACACCGTAAAATCATCTACTTCTCCGCCACCCTAGTAGCCTTCGCATTGACTATCTACAACATGTGGGCAGTTCATCGACCATTGCCTGAGTACCAAGTGATATCTCGACTACTGTACCATCTTGATGGTTGGAATACCGAACCAGACCAAGTCTTTATGGGTGGTAATATAGCTGAACCGAGGATGTGGCTCTTCGCTGGATGGAATATGTTCTCGACGACTGTTAGCTACGCTATAGTAATATATATTGAACTGAGGATTTTGACAGCGTTAAACAAAATGGCAAAGAATAGTGGTACTAAACAGCACCAGGAGCTGAATCGAGCTTTGACGGCTTTAGTAAGAGGTTTTAGAAGAGCATGTTAGGTCGTTCAAATAATTCTGTGCTCTTTAACTCTGAAAATTTGCGTTGAAAAAAGCACAGAATTATTCGAACTACCGTGTAATAACTGAAACATAAATTTAAAATAGTTTTTAAAAAATAGTACTAGTGGTACCATTTTTAGCACCAAGTGCACCATTTTGTAAAACTTAAGGTTTTTAAAATTTTATAATCAATGTTTTGTAACAAATTCATTTTTTTCTAAATTGGTACTACTAGTACACTTAGTAGTACTAGTGGTACCATATATGGAAAAAGTTTTAAAAAGCTAATACTTCATTTTTCAGGCCGTAGTACCCCTACTAACCTCCGTAGTACCAATATCCATCTACATGACAGGCTTTTTCACCTGCTTCGACCCAGGAAGCTACTTTATCAAAATCACTTTTTCCTTATCATTGGCTTCGATTCTAAATCCAATTACTACCATCGGACTAATCAAACCGTATCGTCGTATGTTCTTCAGTATGATCGGAATGAAACATTTGGGTGTAAGCAAAACTGAGGCTTCTAAGACGGCTGGCGCTACTTCTGTTGTCAAGCCTTCACATTAATACCGCTTTTTATCATCTCAGAAGAATAATTTTAAAACTGTTGAAGTTTGACTAAAGGTTATAGAAAAATTAAAGTTGTAAATATTTTTTATAGTATTCGAATTTAGTACTATAAAAATATAAGGATTTTACAATAGAAATTAACTGTTTGTTTATAAAATAAAAAACACAGAATTGTTTTTTTTCCAAAAAAAACAAAAAATCAATAGTTGCAACCCGTCATATTAAATTACTTTTGTTTTTGCGGGAAAGTAAATATAACTGGCTTCTGTTTGAGGTATAGTTTACCAAGTTTCACGTTTGTATTAGTTGTGAAAAAAGCGAATTAAAAGTGAGATACCTATATTGTTGTATGTCAAATCAAGAAAAACTAAAAATCAATAGTTGTAAGCTGCCGAGTTAGAACAATTTTGCCACTATTGCAAAGCAGGTTTAACTTGCTTCTATTTGAGGTGTAGCTGAAGTACTGCAAGGCTGAGATGCATTATGACAAAATGGATTACAAGTAGGTAAACGAATATTATTGTAGACAACTTAACTCCACAATGCTTAAAATGTTTTTCAAACACTGAATCTGTGTTATTTTTAGTAGTGGGGCAATTAAACTTTAAAAAATGTTTAATTTACCTTTACTTTGATGTAAATTTCAAGTATTATAACTCTTGTTATTGGGCTCATAATTTTATGTTTACAAAACATTACTATGCTTTTTTAGTTTCGTATAGTACATGTTATCTAATGCCTCTATATACCACTTATAAACTTTTTACTACACTTTTTTACTTACAACCTGTAAAAACGTAAAAAGGTGTTTCATGTATGCTTTGTCCAAATAACGCGTCATCTTGATAAAGCGGGGAACGGCGAGGGAACGGTAGGCAAAGGCCAACGTTATCTCTTCGGCTGATCTCTGACAATACTTTTGCGAGTTCTACTTTGACCTTTTGCCGTGATTTTTGTTTACTCTGGTGAATCTTTGACACCTTTTGGGTTGAGAGTTCAGTATGTAAAAATTTAAACTTAAGATGTTGTTTTAGACTTGTTCTAGGCTTACAAAGAAACTTTTTGGTTCTTTATTTGTTAAGCAGAGTAACTTAAGGTAGAGAAAGATACGTTAGGGTAAGTTTGTCTATGGTAGGGTATTGTAAAAGAGGGTAAGATAGGACAAGTACAAAAAGATGGCAAGGCAGACAAGGCAAGGCAAGGCAAGGCAAGGCAAGGCAAGGCAAGGCAAGGCAAGGCAAGGCAAGGCAAGGCAAGGCAAGGCAAGGCAAGGCAAGGCAAGGCAAGGCAAGGCAAGGCAAGGCAAGGCAATGCAATGCAAGGCAAGGCAAGGCAAGGCAAGTTAGGGGAAGTTAGAGAAAATAAAAGTTATGTTCCCAGTTTAAAATTTTATTTTTAAAAAATACTGTTTCAAAAAAAATATTTTACTACGAAACATAGCACTATATAAAGGCCTAATGCGCGTCATTGAGTTCAAAGGATTCGAAACAAAATCCGAAAAATTACTTATTCCGCTGAAAAACGTCGCTAAAACAAGGTCTTTTATTGTCTGAAGAGGGCCCGACGCGTTTGGCCAAAAAATTTTTGCGTTTTTATTATCAAAAAACAGTTTTCAGACAGCCGGAAAGTTCTCGGCTGGCTACCAAAACGCTGTTTTTCATTTGATTTCGATATTCGGCCGCTACATGGACCGATTACTAATCGCTTTGTGGAGAAATTTATGATTTTTTTGGGGGCACTGTTTATATTTTTATGAACGGTGGGTGGTGTACGAGGGGATGGTAGAAAAAAGATAATTGACTTTGCTTTTTTTCGTTATGTGGGACATGGCTAATATTTTAAAGTTAAAAGTTTGGGTTAAGTTTAAAGCCTTTAGGCTTGAAGTTAGACTTAAAAATATTAAAATTTTGTGTTTTTATTATATTGTAAAATATAATTTTTGATTGCTTTTTTACTTGAAGGAATAAGAAAACATAGGTCATACATGTTTTGTCTCTTTCCCAACCAGATATTCAAGATTCACAAGATTTTGTTTTAAAATGTTTGGACGGAGAATTCTCAAATTTTGGAAAATGAATAACAATGTTTTTCAAATTGTATTAGACTTTGTTTCTTTAATTTTTTTGATTGTGTTGTATTATAACAAAAAGGATGTTACACCTGAAGTTTAGGCCAAATTAACATAGATTTAATAAAGAGTAAAGTATTGATAGAAGAAATTTTAAATAACAAAAAAAATTTTATTTTCAGCAAAATTAGAGGAGAATAGGATAGGGTGTTTATTGTTTATCTCGCTTTTTTAATTTTTTCGTTTTCTCATAGAATCAGTCTAAATAAAATGCGCGGGTTAGACCCTGTTTGGCCTAAAATTTAAAACAATTCGGATTTGGCCTTGTGTAATAAATGTAATGCGATTAACTAACTGGGCTCACCTGGGCCGGATGCAGGGGGGGGAGACAGAGGAGGTACCACCCTCCCCCCTCTCCTTCAAAGAAATAAAAAAAAGGATTTTTTTGACCCCCGCCGTAGACCAGAAGTACCCGTCCAGCTCTGGTCTCACCCTACCTTATTCTTCATGTAGCGTAAATTTGTAAAGTTTTAAAATCTGATTTGTTTCTCCAACAAAACATTTGACTACATTTTTCGCAAGTCAACTCTTCTATTGAGGGATCTAAGCTAAGCTACTAGTCCAGCCTGGCCTTTTCTAATTTGTTTCGGTCTGGCTTCAGTGTAGTGGGCCTTCATTCAGGTCTATCTAGTCGGGTCTAGCGCTTATGTTTGCTTGACTGTTCTTCAGAACAAGCTTACCTGCTTGAGCAAAAAATGGCAATAACTTTCTTTGCAGCGCAAGAATTGCAACAACTTTCTTTACAGAGCAAAAAACGGCAAAAGTTGGTTGAGACATATATTGTTTTGAAAAGTTGAACTTTGTATTTTAAAATTTTGCCTTACGGTTACTTTAATAAAAAGATATGCTTGAAATGGACTGGATTTGCATAAATTTCGAATTACAAAACGTTTTTTTTATAAAAAAGCTTATTTTTTATTTTGTTTTCATTTTTTTATGTAATTTTAAAATTTAAAAATTGGTTGTAATGTGTCGTATACTATAAAATCTTTTGATGGTAACTTACCGTGTTTTATATATTATATTTCTTTCTGTTTGTTGTTTACCAACACTACCAATTAACTATGCAAAGGTCTATAGAACGTTCATTACGTTCAGCTTCACATATATAACATTACTTTGTTTGTACATATATATTACTATGCACATGTATTATACTATGTATATGTGTATACCTTATTATTATAACGATCTCTCATATTCTCCTTTGTAGTCGCACAAAAATGGCAGTGGAAGTGCAGCCGGCGATGGATCCAACATTTGAAAGTAAGAAACGTGGCTCACGGTCTCATCGTATCTACAGTAGTGCCGTGCTGCTGGTAGTACTGGTCGGTTCAGTGTACTTTAAAGAGGTCAAGGAGTTCGTCAAATCGTAAGTTTTTGAAAATTTAAAATTTTAATTTGGTTTTTGTTTAAAATTTAGTGTTGAAATTTGAAAATATAGGAAAATATGTGACATTTTATACGTTGAAACGTGTTTGCTCGTCCACCATGCTTCAGACTATTCAGAATGGTTTTTTAAAAGATTTTCAAAAGCTAAAACGTTGTAGAATCATATTTTCAGACCAATTGCAATGTCAAAATTGCTTACTTTTATAAAAATTTGCAGGTTTGATCCATTTCTGGGCCAACGCTTGGTAATGTATCAAGGTGAAGGTGGACAGAAATGGCTGGTACCTCATTCAAATTACAATTACACGTAAGTCATTTTATTTTGACTACTTTAAAGTTTTTTGTGTACATAAGAAGGTATGATAAAGTAGTTTAATATAGTGAAGTGTTGGGGAAGGTAGTTTAGGGTAGGGTAAAATAAAGCAAATCGGGCACGGCAGGGTAACACATGTCCCAAAAATTATTGTTTTTAGATACAAAGCCTACTTCGAAGACTTTGTGTGGAACGAGTCGGCATTTGCATTTATCAACAAGTACTGGCTGATATGTCTTCCAATTGGGTATTTGTACTATTTTGGCATTCATCGCCTCGAGGCATTTATGAAAAACCGTGAGCCCATGAAACTGCAGACGACTTTGGTGCTTTGGAACTTGTTTTTGGGACTTTTCAGTATCGCTGGCTTTGTTAGGGTTGTTGAGGTAGGTTTGACTTAATGGTACTAGTGGTCCACTTTGGCACTTTTGGTTCTATTTTTTAACTGTACTAATAAATTGTAATTTTTGAGTTATATTGACTACATATGGAAATTTTTAACGTTTTGGTACAGATAGTTGGTACTAATGGTACTAATCTTGTAAAAGCTATCAGTTTTAGGAGTACTACTACGTAGTGTCAAACTTTGGCTTCTATAACGCCATTTGTAACATATTCAGTCCAAATGGTCCAGCTTTCTTCTGGAGTGTCATGTTTACAGTATCCAAAGTCCTGGAGCTCGGAGATACTGTATTTTTGGTGCTACGCAAAAAACCAGTTATATTTTTACATTCCTTTCATCATATGTTTGTTATGGTCATCGTATTTCATGCTGGTAGGTCAATATTTTAAATCGTTTTGGCCGAGCGACACGTTATACGACCAAACATGTTTTATTCGGCTTCATTGTATAAAATTCCTCTTTTCAGTGGCAGAAATGGGAGCACCGGCCATAACCTTCATGTTGATGAACTACTTTGCCCATTCCATCATGTATCCCTACTACGCGGCGATGGCGGCCGGTATTAGGGTACCAAGGCCGTTGGCCAAATGCATTACCGTAATCCAAATCACTCAAATGTTCTTGGGTGTTATGGTAACCACATTCACTGTCTATAAACGCGACATCCAAGGAGAATAGTAAGTTTTGGCATTATTTAATGTTGGTAGGTTAATTTGAGGAAAAACGGGTGAAAGGGGCATGTTATACGAAACATGTTTCATCGTATAACTTGTCTCTTTTTTATAAAAAATATGTTTTATGATCTGATTATCACTTTATAATAGTAAAAAATAATTTTTTACAGTTTTTATTACATTTTAAAATTTTCAGCTGCCAAACAACCAGATTCAGCACGCTTCTCAGCTACACAACCTACGTCGCCTTTGGCTGGTTGTTTGTCCAATTCTTCCTCAAAGCCTACGCGAAGAAACCCAGAACGGCGGAGAAGAAACACGACTGATACATAATATTTATTTTGCAAAACGGTTTTGTTGTTTATTTGTTGAGTAAATACGTGTAGATGATATTGTTATTCGTAGTACGGGATTTACAAAATTAAAAAAATTTGAGAAGTGGGGGAGGTTCAAAGCTGTAAATAAAGTTTCTGCGTACTCAAGATTTTAACTTTATAGTGAGCTTTTATCTTGAGTCTTAAATTTAGATTGAGCCTAAACGTGAGTCTGAGCTTAAGTTTGAGCTTAAAGGGCCTGTAAACCCCCGAAAAATCCATTTTTGAAATATCGCCATGAACCTGGCATTATGTCTTATCGTGGCGGGACCAAAAGGAAATTCTCGCGTAAAATATTTTTAGAAATTTTTTTCATGGATAATATTTCGATGAATCTCCTTGATTTCACTACAAATTGCTGTTCTAAATATTGTCTCTGTGCTGTAAAATGCTATTGCTGGCTCAAGTTTTCCAGGTTTTATCTGAATTTACACTTTTTTGTTATTATAGTGTATTTTCCGGTAACGTTTTGAGAACTTTGGCCAGATTCAAGTTAAAACAACTTTAAAAGTTGATTGGTGAGTATTTTATATAATATTTATGTTGTTTTAGATGAATAATCTATATTTAGACACCCACTATTAAGTTACAACTGTTTTGATGTAATTTCGCACTTCGATGTTGTTATAGCGCAATGTCGAGCTAAAAGATAAAAGCTTAAGCCGTTTTTGGACTTGAAAACTTACAGAATGGCTGGAGAATATGCTACAGGATGTTTTTAAACTGTTGTGGACGATTCTGGTTCAAAAAGCAGGCTAAGGAAGGATTTCTGCCGGATCCCAGCTAAAACAAGGTCAACAAGCGATTCGTAAGTATTTTATTGCCATTTTTGTTGTTTTAGGTAGAAATTGGCTAACTAAGCTAAATCCACAAGTGCATGTCCTCTTTCAACTGATTTCCGTCTGTCTTTACCAGAATATTCTGTTAATGCAGAATTTTTAGGTAACAACTGAGAATTGGGCAGTGTTTATGATATTAAAATAGCCGAAAGTCTATGACAAGTTATACAATTAGTTAAACTGGCCAATTTGATACCTAAAATAACAAAAATGGCAATAAAACACTTACGAATTGCTTGTTGACCTTGTTTTAGCTCGTATCCGGCAGAAATCCTTCCTTAGCCTGCTTTTTGAGCCAGAATTGTCCACGACAGTTTAAAAACATTCTTTAACGTCTTCTCCAGCCATTCTGTAAGTTTTCAAGTCCAAAAACGGCCAAAGCTTTCATCTTTTAGCTCAACATTGCGCTATAACAACATCGAAGTGCGAAGTTACATCAAAACAGTTGGAACTTAATAATGGGTGTCTAAAAATAGATTATTCATCTAAAACAACATAAATATTATAAAAAATACTCACCAATCAACTTTTAAAGTTTATTTAATTTGAATCTGGCCAAAGTTCTCAAAACGTTACCGGAAAATACACTATAATAACAAAAAAGTGTAAATTCAGATAAAACCTGGAAAACTTGAGCCAGCAATAGCATTTTACAGCACAGAGACAATATTTAGAACAGCAATTTGTAGTGAAATCAAGGAGATTCATCGAAATATTATCCATGAAAAAAATTTCTAAAAATATTTTACGCGAGAATTTCCTTTTGGTCCCGCCACGCTAAGACATTATGCCAGGTTCATGGCGATTTTTTAAACGCTATCTTTACAGGTCCTTTAAGTGTGAGTCATAGCCTGTGCTTGAGCTTTAATTTGAACCTGTCCTTGAGCTTGAAATGAGCTTGAGTTTAAGCTTGAGCTTTTACCTAAGCCAGAAGTTGAGCCAAGCCTGAGCTTAAGCCTAAGTTTGAAGTTGAGTCTGAGGCTGAGACTGAGACTGAGCATGAGCTTGAGCTTGAGCTTGAGTTTGAGCTTGAGCTTGAGCTTGAGCTTGAGTTTGAGCTTGAACTTGAGCTTGAGCTTGACCTTGAGTTTGAGCTTGAGCCGTAGCCTAAGGTTTGGTCTCAGCTTTAGCCTTAGTTTTAGCCAAGTCTCACTATACCATTACTGTACTATTTAAAATTCATGGGTTATTGCAAATGCAAATTGATATGTACACTTTATTATGTGGCTTGTTGTCTCTTTGAATATATAAAACTGGTTGAAGGTAGAATTATTAATGTTTCAGATAGCACATGCCTTGAATTTTCGAAAGTAACATTCTTGGTGTTCTTGTAGCTTCTTTTTATTTTTTTGGCAACAAACAGCACTAAGTGTTTTAAATTTTTCAAGTGATAAACTTTTAATGTGATATGAACTTGCCAAAGCTAATCTTTATCAGTTCTAAACATTGGCACACCTTGAAAAAGTTTTTTTTAAGAAGACTGTGATTTATAGTGCAAAGAATGATATAAATGACTGTTTTCAACTCAGTTTGTGGTTATAAATAACTTTTAAACAAGAGCTACTTTATTGTTTCTTAAAGGACCAGTTCGCCCATTCAAATATCATTGGCATTCTGTCGCAAAAAGCGTCGAAAATCAGGCAATTTCAATCAAAATTATTTTTCTGAAAAAATGTGAATGGGTCGGTGTCGAAATGAATTTTCCAATTTGGGACCGACCTGCTCAGGTTTTTTGCAAAAAAAATTAACGTCGAATCTACAAATTAGAGTCCTAATTCTTTACTATTACTGTTTTTTTTTTACTTTCCAGTCTAAAGAACCAGTCCAAACAGTTCGATTAGTCAACAAACGTTAATTCTTAACCTCTAATTGGCAAAAAGTAACAATTAAAGAGACTTTGGGCATTTTTTGGGACAAAACTCCTATGGAAACAGGAAAACACGATGGATCTTGACAACTTTTTAACTTTTAAAAATACTTTTTTCGTCTTTCTTGGCCAAAGATTTTTCGTAAAGATTTTGAAATTATTTGACAATTAGGGTTATAAAAAATTATTTAGTTTCGCCTAAAGTAATATTTTTTAAGCACTCAAGTTTTAGATTTAGCTAGCCTTGGTTTTGGCCTTTGCTTTAGTCGCCTTGCCAATTCCTACAACTTTAAAGTAAAACGAAAGCTTTTTATTTTATATTTTTGTTAGCCTAAAATCCCCTATCTTTAACAGAGTAGTTACCCTATCTGTCCACTCAGAATCAGCCCACATTTTTATGTGAATTCTTCGTACTACCAATAGTACTCATAAAAAATTTAGCTTGTTATTTTGACTTTTAAACCGTAATTATTTGGGATTCCCGCCAATTTGGCAAATTTAGCATGCTGTTTCAAGCCTTTTTTTGACATTCCAGTCAAGCTACGCTTAAAAATTTGAAAATGTAGGTTCATTTAATAGTATTCTAATATTATATCAAAAAAGACTTGCTAAAAGGCAAAAAATGGCAAAGTTATAAGCTTGAAACGCAATGCCAATTTACAAGGAAAGTGCCCGACCTGCCCCGCTCTGATTGACTTTAAACTTTTTATATAGAAAGATCATTTAAATATAACATGTTCAGCAAAGTACTAAATCGCGCTTTCCAGGAAATCTCAAGAAAATCGAGATTAAAAAATGACATTTTGAATTTCCCGCCAAGTTGGCATTGTGTTTCAAGCTTGTAACTTTGTCATTTTTTGACTTTTAATAGTTTTTCTTTCATATACTAGTAGAATACCTTTAAATGAACCTACATTTTCAAATTTGTAAGTGTATCTTGTCTGGAAAGCCGAAAAAAGTACTTGAAACACAATGCCAAATTTGTCAAATTGGCGGGAAACCCAAATAATTTAAATTTGAAACTAAAACGCGCGAGCTAAAATTTTTTATGGGTACTATTGGTGTTACAAGGAATTCATGTAAAAATTTTGAGCTGATTCTGAGCGGGGCAGGTAGGGTACTTTCCTTGTTAGCGTAATATTCAAAATGTATTTTTTATGTCGATTTTCTCGATGTTGACTGGAAAGCGCGATTTAGTACTTTGCTGATGATCTTATATTTGCATGATCTTTCTGTATAAAAAGTTTGAAGTCAATGAGAGCGGGGCAGGTCGAGTACTATTCCTCTCAATTTTTATTTGTAAATTCAGTTTCAAGCTTAAAACAAAAAAAAAGTTTTTAAAACGGTATTTTAAAAATTAAAAACTGTTGAATTTTCGATTTTTTGTTTTCCTAAAAATCTAATTTTTAGCTTAAAACAAGTTTTACGAACCCTAGCTATTTCTATTTTTGCCATTCGTTCACGCTTGAACTTTCTCAACACCAATTTATATCTGTTTTTATGCCTTTTTTATGATCAAAATAAGCGGCCGGAGGGGATTTTTTCACTTTATTTTGATGATTTATTAATGGGTTTATACGAAATGGCATAGTGCATCCAGGACTATTATATCTTACTATCTTGCGTTGCTGTCAAATTGAAATACTGTATATAATATGGGGTGGATTATTAGGCCTTGGGTGATTAAAATAGCAAGTACTTTCTTTACAGAGGCTAAAATGGCAAGAACTTTCTTTACAGAGGCTAAAATGGCAAGAACTTTCTTTACAGAGGCTAAAACGGCAAGAACTTTCCTTAGAAAACGAAAAATGACAAGAACTTTCTTTACAAAACAAAAAATGGCAAGAACTTAATTTACAAAACAAAAAATAGCAAGAACTTTCTTTACAGAATCAAATATAGCAAGACCATTCTTTACATTGAAAACAATGGCAAGAACTTTCTTTTCAGTGAAAACAATGGCAGGAACTTTCTTTACAAAGCAAAAAACTCGCAAAGGCATTCCTTTAAGCTGAATAGTCAAAAATATTTTCTAAATTTTAAAATGGCCAGAACTTTCTTTACAGAGCCTAGAACGGCAATAAATTTCTTTCCAACTCGAAAAAACCAAAATTTTGTAACTTTTTGAAAACAGAAAAAACTTTGTTTCCAAAGTGCAGACCCTTAACAACAAACAGACTATAGGACCAAGTCTGAGATTGTTGTTGACCCATTTAGATATGTAAAACAATTTTATTACCTAAAAT